TTCGGGGGAAAGTTAAACGCCGCACTCACGTGTCATTAAACGCTAAGTGTTGTTTAGTCAATTCCACTGCAATCCGACGGTAGCCGAATTCTAGAAACATACAAATTGTGCAGCACTTCGTCATCCAGAAGCGCACGTCCGTCCGTCTCGAGTACGCGTTATCAATATTGTTATCATTTTGACTAGATATAATGAGACCGCTGAAGCAAACGTCCCTGCGTGCACCGTGGCCTCACTGTTATTATCACGCATTAAAGTGTCGTCGATAGTTCGCCGGCTCGAAAACCGTTTGCGATAAAATAAGTTCATCGGGAACGAAATCAAACAACGCCGGAGAATATGATTATCTTACATTAATCGCTATTTCGAAAAAATCACAAACGCAGTGGTGCGATTCGAAAATGTCATAACCATTTGTAATAATGTACAAATTCTGATGTATGCGAAACGTATTGCCATTACTCGTTGCCAGTGGCGTACATTCGATCTTGCTCTGGGGAGGGTTTAACAAAAATAATCATTATCTTTTTTTTTTTCGTTGTACAAATAAATAAGATAAAAACTGCTATAAACAGTTATTATTTTATACAACTATTTTACCAATTTACAATTTACTTTTACATTACAGTAAATTAATAGCTATTGGAAAATAAAAACGGCATAGTTAATAAAACTTTTCAAACACCTATCAATATAATTATTTAATTATCATAATATTTGTATAGTTGTATATTTTAAGTTCAAAGCGTAATAATGAAACTACGAATATATTACACGTCATCAATAATAAAATAATTTTCTTTTTTTTCTTTTTTTTTTTGGCCCTGGGGGGGGTTTGAACCCGGAAACCCTCCCCGTATGTACGCCACTGCTCGTTGCACTACGTAACCTATGCCAATGGCTTATAATGTTCTAACGGTGTATATTATATGTTCATATTATAGTTTATAATCGTAACAAATGCAATAACCACGAACCATCAACACGAGGTTATTTGACAGCGAGGTTCAGTACGCGCAAAGGGTAAATACAAAAATAAATTAATAAAACGTTTCAACCTCGTCTCGCATCGTGTAACATTCCTTAATAATCGAACGGAACTCGTTGTTCGTTTTTCCATCCCGAACGCAGTTAACACAATTATGGTATAATAATAGGTGCGTTACCCCAGCACCCGCACTTTCGAAATCATGAATTGTAATCAAGCAGTATTATGTACTTTATTTTGTACAATTTTGTACAACCCCCGAACCACCCCAAAATTCAATTTCATTTTACGGGTGCTGCGGTAACGTTACACTAGCACCCTGATCAACTAATCTTCACAAATTTCAACTTTAAATCGTACCATATTATGTACTTTATTTTGTATAATTCTCAAACCAGAGGCGTGGGGTTCATAGAAGTTCGAGTACAAAATTCTAAAATTTCCCCTTTATCTATTATCATAGTTTACCACCTTCAACTTCTGTTGGTAATTCATTTAACTCAATTCTTTATTATGTACTGAATTATTTTCCGTTTTTTATAGGTTAATTCTATATTCTAGAACATCTATGTCAATACTTTTTATTAAACTTTTAGATTTTTAACGGAGTGATGAACGTGTTTATTTTACAATGATGTGTGCTTTTTTTTTTATTGTGTCTGTCATCACGTTTTGAGGTAGTAATAGTGCTTTGATTTTTGACTTCAGCCCTTCTTTAAAAAGGAAATTTAATCTAGTTTATACTTTAGGAGGTTAATAGTAAAAAAATTATATTAGTTTTTAAGAGACTCTGTAATAACCCTGAAAAAGTAACGGAAAAACAGGAATTTACGTATAACCACTTTTCGACTATATCGATTTTTTGATTTTGCTGTAACTCAAAAGCGAATCATTGTAAAGACTTGAAATTTTAACCAAATGTTTATATTAGTGTTATATATTTATGATTAAATTTTCAAAATATTTATAGACCATTGAAATTTTCGATTTTTCTAATTTTTTTTTCTTGAAATACCGATAAAAAAAATTTGGCTCCTAAAAAAATCTTTAAAATTGAATATAAGATATTTAATATATACTGCCCCATTGCGATTCAACGGATCATTAGGCATTGTATTTTATAACCAATTATTTCTATTTTTAGTATTTGCCGTTTATAATATGTTATCGGGAATTTTATTGACAATTATTTCTGAAAATTGTTTCTTTTCATTTTAAAATTAATACCATACAGTATAACAAATAACAATCTGGCTAATAATACAATCATTGTTTACAATTTAAAGGTAATAATTGTTTTCGTTATATTTAGTTTTGGTAATCCAGTTGTAGTTGTGTGTCGACTATCGAATTGTTAGTGCGTTAAATATTTACGTAAATAAATATCAAATATAATAAATATTGTGTCGCGAAAAAATATCGACAAAGTGTGTGATTATTATGATATTACCATCTAGGTGGACAGTACTGCTATAGCAGTGGTCAATTCACTACTGGTATAGCATTAATATTTAATTGCGTTTCTGAAGGTTCTTAAGAAAAAATACCAAAATTCAGAATGTCCATCAATGTGTTAACTATAATATTGTTGATCAAATTTGCATAAAATAAATTTTAAATCTAAAATAAACATATTTTTTGGAAATTACAAATTATACCTGATAAAAGGCAAAATTATCATAGATAAAACTCTATTTAATTTTATATTTATTATTTTTTATAAGTCATATATTGACTATTTTTAAACTATTTTCTAAAAGAAGAAATCTTTTGTTTGTTTACATACAGTTAATTGAATTAAATTAATTGTAGTAGGTAGTAGGTACCTATTATAGGTAATTGATAAATTTAAAATGTGGATCCTACACATTTAAAATAATTGAATAGGTACTTGAATGTATTAAAGCTGTAGGTATGTTGAATCATACATTGCATTGTTTATATTATTTAGATACTTATACTAATACAATAATAACTATATACTACTATATACTATACTATGTACTATATACTATATCCATCCAAAGTAATTTGATCTTTCAAATTTAAAATTTCATCATTAATATTTTTATTTAAATTATTTGGTTTTCTTTCTCTATTATCATTTGCCATCACTTATTAGAGTAATACACAAAAGTTTTAATTATATTTTAATATAAAACAAAATAAATTCAAGGAAATTATACCTAATACACGACATAAATGTAACTTATTTAAATGATCACAATTTTGAAAAACAGAAGTACATTAAGATATTAGGTGATAGGTACATTCAAGTTCATTTTAACACCAAATACATATTATTATAGACAAAATTATAGTAAATTACTAAAATAAAATGAATCTATGAGTCAAAATATTCGATACATTTTGTTGTAGTAAAGCTTAGAAGCGCGATATCATGAATAGACGAATTAGTCGACAATGTTGAAAGTAGCAGTGTAGCATAATGCCCACGTACGACGTACCAACTACTTAGTATCATTGTTCATTGGTTATAAATATTATTTATTATTGTACAATCTAAAATCAGATTGTATTAGACTATTTTTAGAAATGCAATATTATATTTTTATTCTTAACATTAAGATAACAGTTTAAGATTACAGTTCATTAAGATTACAACTTCTACTGTGATGATGACAAGAAATTGGTAAGACAGTATTAAAATAATAAAAACTTTTTCGGTATACCTACAGCATAACAAATATAAAACGATATTTATTGACATGTATACTGCCCTCCTAAGCCAAAAGACAATAAGCAACAATGGAGTAGTTTTGAGAAAAATGAGTAAAAAAGTAACATTAGGTATAGCTAGGTGAATAATAATTAAATTGATGATAAAAATAACTCTTTATAAATTATATAAATATAACTGATATTGGTTAATAATTTGTTCGTCAATGTCAGTAGGTAGGAATTATCGGTATTTGTAATTTTAGTTAGCTTATTACTCTTCGTAAACATATTTATATTGTTTATATTAATATATATATATATATATTTTAAGTATTTTATGGACAATTCGATCAGCTTGAAACGCGTGAGTACATTTTGTATTTCACTATACCGTTCTTTATTATTAATCACTAAAAGTATTATAAATGACGATTCTGTAATTTAAATTAAAATAAAATGTATATTCAAAAAAATATTTAACATGCGGTCTTTGAACCTTGTTTATTTTTTACACGTGTTAAAAAAGTTACCTACAGCTTAATCCTAGTATCTAATACCTAATCGGCGTTGACATTCTTATGTCAGCTGTATTTAGTAGAAACAAGACATATACATGTACCGATGTATCTGCATATAATATAGATACTCTTCGATTTCTTTTTGTTATTATTATCAGAAAATAAATCATTCATTAAAAAATGTAAAAATGTAATATGATATTAATATATAAATATATAAATGATTAATTTAACTATTATTAAAATAATACACCTATTTAATATAATTGACATAATTTTAAATCTCGATATCTGCAAACATACTTAATATATTCTGTTGATTCTTTTTGAATTATATAAGTTAATCATCAGTAACTATTTCTACCTAAAAGGAAGTGCTGTATATTCGTAAAAGTATCTTAGATACAATATTGATAAAAGATACGCGATAACACCCGTAAGATGAAATTGAATTTCGGGGAGGTTCGGGGGTTGTACAAAATTTAATTTTGGTTGTACAAAATTGTACAAAATAAAGTACATAATACTGTACGGTTTAAAATTGAAATTTGTGAAAAATAGTTGATCCGGGTGCTGGTGTAACGTTACCCCAGCACCCGTAAAATGAAATTGAATTTTGGGGTGGTTCGGGGGTCGTACAAAATTTAATTTTGGTTGTACAAAATTGTACAAAATAAAGTACACAATACTGCTTGATTACAATTTATGATTTCGAAAGTCCGGGTGCTGGGGTAACGCACCTTATAATAATTATACATTATCCATTATATAGGTGTAGTAATTATTACAACAGCATGAACAGGTATACTGACTTGGCGTATCGGCCGCACTCGTGGACCAGCGCCACCGTACCGTCGGACATGAGCCTGGGGTAGTTGCACCGGCGGAACGAGCTGAAGTATGCGTCGGCCTTGTCCAATAATCGACCCTAGAAAAACACAATACACAATTTAGATCGTTAAAAAATTGAAAATACCTATGCCAAATAGTGACAGTATTATTTTAGACGTGATTCACATAATCTCATACAAAAGTATATTTTTCGTGCGAGAACAGTGTTAATGAATCGAACAGACGAATGTGAACAATACTTTAGTATCAGAATTAATCGAATAGATAAACAAATAAAAGAAATTAAAAAAAAAAAAAATTAAAAAAGATTATGTTGAGCTCTATTATATTTTATGATCGTCCACGCGATTTAATTTGTATTAAAGTAGCTTTGAATAATTTACAACACAAAAGTAATATCTGTAATATAACTGTTTTTTTATACCTTTAAGCCGTTTGTACGCTTATATATGTATATATATATATGTTTTTATTTTTATACTCATAAAAAACATCTCCAAATTTAAGCCGTTCTTATATATATATATTTTTTTTAGAGGTATTAATAATAACAAAACACTATGTATTTATCATAATACTGATATTTTTGATTTACGAAACAAAATGTCTACAGCGTCTTATAATTATTTGAGAAGATTATAAATCCTCCGGAAACAATATCGATTTTTGAATATTTTTGAGACGTCTAAACTTTCCTTTCGTACATGTCACCGTTACCGGACGTCGGGTTTGGATATTAAAATGAGATGCATAATTTTAATTTTATCGAACAACGGAGGGCAAACACGCACCTCCATGTCCAACAATATGAATATTTTTAACACAAATCCGAGGCCACGTCGTGGGTAAAATGCTTAACGTTAATCGTTCACATTTTACGCTATGTTTGTTTACGATTTTCGCTGCGAAGATCCAAAACGTCTGAAAAAAAAAAAAAACGCGCCCTCGGTACACGCGTTTGACGTCCGGGACGTGATCGAAACGACGTGAGCGAGTGGCCACGGATCTTGTAGAGTTCGCGTTGTTCGGGCGCGCCGTGTGTTGCCGCGGACGGGTGAGCGGTTGGCGCGCGGTGGAAATGTCGGTGTGGTATTTACTTGAAATTATATTTACCGGGTATTTGTCCATCACTAATCGGACCACGCGAAGCCGGCGCGGTTGTATGTTATCGTTTCGCGTTAGCACCGATTTGAGAATGCGCCTAGATAAACCTAAATGTTGTTGATTTGAAAATAATCAGTGTTCGTCAAGCGCTCGGTGAACGGATCGAAAACGTATTCGGCAAAACACAATTTTCGTTCGGTTCGTGTATTGGCAGGAGGACGGCATCAATGAAAAGTTATTTCTTCTCGCCAAACAAATAAAACAACTATACACCGTAGTTATGGCGGCAATTGCGTTTATTTCGTTGAGCTGGCTCGCAATTTTAAAGATAGGAAAATTGTACGGTTTTAAATTTTTCCTTACTTCAGTTGTACAATACAATAAGAAATATAAGACACATTATATGCATGCAGTAAATTAAACGCTTTATGGATTGAACCGTTTCCATAAACTTTTTTTCGTAACACATCTTTGAATTTTACTCTAAAATTATTATTACTATGAAACATAAAATGTCCATATAACAACAAAAAAAATGAACGACCGTATTTAATGTACTACATAATTAATTAATACTTATCATTAATACATAATTTTAATTATTCATTTTGTTTAAGTTATATATTGCTTGAAATTCAGGTAAACAGATGTTTTTTTTTTTATAGTCATTGAATATTTACAAGCAATTTTGTTCAATATTATTTTTTTAATTCGTTTTTTATATTATAATAAATATCCTGAATATAATTGAAATAAAAAAAAAAAATAAAAAACTATAGGGTTCAAAGTTTTCTAGTTGTGTCATTATAACATGTAACAAGTTATATAATACATGTTAGAACTTCGAAAAATACGTTAATATATAACAAACTTGACTAATTAAAAAATTAAGACTACATGGTGCTTTCAATGGAAAACATTATTTAATAAAATTGTGAATGCTATTGTTTTAGGAATGTCTCTTGGAAAAAATGTACAGTGTTAGTATAATGAATCCACCAAAGAAAAGTAAAAAAAAAAATTAATTACGATTTCATTGTTGTTAAGTTTCTAAAATAATAATAATAATAATAATGGTTTTATTTTTATCTTATAAGTTATTTTCTGTCATCCAAAAGCCTAGAAAAAATAATTTCTTCAACTTTTGTTATTACTCTTTTATAGACATCTGGCAGTAAGTCGACACAACCATAAAAATAATGTATATATATATATATATATTATACTTTTGTGTGTATTATAGTTTATTATAAACGAAAAAAATCAACACTTTTTAAGCTTATCGACACCCAAAGTGAAAAACATAAGTTATATAATGTATAGGTATAAAAAATTAAAAATGCACAATGACCTTAAGACAAATGTGATTAATAATACGTTTGTTTTCGGTGCAAAATATTTTATACTTGTAATGGTAAACGTAAAATAATACGACCGACTGTACAATATACGTGTATTATAATTCGAAGACATTACCGGAAGTGAACAATATATATTGCTAAAAGATCGAATGTTCGTGACTTTTTAACATTCTTTATGAAATCTGAAAGTATTCTCAAGACTTCCCTTACTGTATACCAAAGTATCGTTAAGGGATTAACTGTAATCGTTTATTCGTCAATGGTGGGTGGTTGGTTATGCGTACAATATTTTCGTTTTACGATACAAAGTATAATGTGTTATATCGGTAAAGCCCAGATTTTAATGGAAGTATATTTATTTTTTAAGTGGTCTTAGACCATTGGATTAGTTTTCTAGTATATACAAATTTTATGTAACGGATGCTTTAAAAGCAAAATTCTTATTTTGTATTTTTTTTTAGCATTTTTCGGTAATCGGGTTAGCTTTAGTTTATATTGGTAAATAATACGGTTTAATAATTGACATTCAACTAATCTGTAATAATATCTAAAAATAATATTAGTCATTATCAAAGTCTCTACAATAAGTAAAATTTGAAAGTTTTTTTTTTTTTTGTATTAAATTTTAAATTTATTTTGTAAACTATAAACTAAGTACCAAATTTATCATTTAAATTTGATATCGTATATTTTTACTGTAAAATTGATTTGTAAAGGCATTTTGGAAATTTTTCATATCATATTTTAATAACGTTAAGAGTGTTTAAATCTGATCGTTGTAGTTATCGGTTACAATATCGAATGCGTTTCAGTGCGAACCGATCTCGGAGCACATTTCGTATTACGACAACTTATCGAATTGATTTTCCGTTGATTCTGCACAAAGAAAGAATAACGAAACGATCCGCATATGCTTTGTCCGCAGTTTTTCTACGCCTTATGTCGTAGCACGTGAAAAAATAAAAGTAATAATAATAATAATAATAATACGACGCCTCTGACCGTAGCGATACGGAAAAGAGTTCCGTGTGGTCACTAAAGGTTTTTTTTGTTCTGTTTATTCGCCGTCGTTGTAAAATTATGTTTTTAATATCTTCGAGATCCGGTCACGTGTAATACACCGATAGTCACTCGTTGAGAAAATAAACAAATAACATTTTCGTTCCATAAAGGCAGTAGTAGCACGACGGAGGCCACTTGTAAAAATACATACCGTAAACATCACCATCGGCTGAACCACCTTAACGGTGGCTTATGTGATTGTGCAAATATTTTCCCTGGCATAATGATACGCGTAGGGCTGGATAGGGCTGGAAAAATGAAACGCCAGTAATAGGTTATCGGGTTACTGTGCGGAGTTGGAAACGTACAGGTTACCACTTAGACTGGATGAAGGAGGAGGGGGGAGAAGGAAGCTCCGGGCCGTAATTTGAGAGGGACCGCAATGTGTTCCATAATCGTCGGCTAACTAATGTAAAATACTTTTTTATCAATTAATTGTGACCACACTGCTCTATGAATAAACTATATTAAACAAATATTGAATTAATATTTATTACTAATAAGTCTCATGAGGCCGGGGTGTAATAACCAACCGGAGGCCCCTTAAAAAAAATGTGCACCACATTGGCACTTGTATTTGTTTGATACGTGTTGGTGTATTGAATAGTTAAAAAAAAATAATTAAAAGATATTGAGAATTCACGTTAAAAATATTTTGTGCATATTTGACATTGAATTTAAACCAAATTGTCCAGGTGATTGATATTTAGCGAACGAAAATGTACGGACAAATTTTCGGAATGCCAATGTGTTGTTTGTGCGACTTAATTCTATTTTTTACTATTTTCTCGACGAATGAAAAATTCCGAAAATCACCTCTCCGTTGTAATATTTATATACAATTTTCTTTTGACGGAGTGAATATAATACTATCTTCAAAGGGCATACTTATGTGCGTCTGTAAAGAGTAAAAATGTTTCAGTGAAAAATCCATATTTTATTTTTAACATAATGATTTTGAGACAATCTCTTATAGGTCGCAATGATTTGAAAAAGTGCACATTTTATCAAAACTAACGATACATTACAATTTGGATTTTTTTTAATAAATTGTGTTTTTATAAAAGCTGATTGAAGCTAAGATAATAATAATAATATATTGTTCTGAATATTTCTATAATTTTCCTTTGATTTTCATATAACAATATTTGGTCTTCATGTTTTTTACCAAAATACGCTTTTAATATTATTATCATCGAAACACTAGACAAAATGTACTAACCAAAGAACAAAGGAACAAAAATGTTTTTAATATAAAAAAAATCTTTCAGTATTATTTTCTAAAATATTAATGATAATTAAGATAAAATACAATGGATATGTAAAAAAAAAAAAAAAAAAAAAACAATAAAGATTTAAAGAGCTTACAGTAATTAAATTACTTTTGTAACTGTCAAGTTTTAAGATATTGCGTGATGCATTTAGAATCATCTTATTTTCTTTTTTCTTTTTTTGTAATTCTAATAGAATATATGGTCACTGTTATAGTGAAATGGAAGAAATTATGATTCCATAATGAAGTGTCTGCACTTGATTTGAATTAGTATAT